GGTGAATAAGTGACTGGTTTTACATATGTGCATCCAGTTTGTTTGCCCATCTCCGTTGAAGTGCAGTGTGCAGTTATGTGCCGAATGTTTCTGCAAGATGTATCCATGAGTGTCTTAGTTCTAAACTGACCCCACCCACCAACCCCACCCATATTCTATTAAACTTTAATAAACTGCTGTATGTTGGATTTTATTGGAATGAAACCGCCATAGAAAGACTGAAGACTTTTACAGAGAGGTCTGAGGACTGGGTCCCATTTCTCTGATTACAGGGTCCCATGTTTGAGCTTGCTGACCCCAGTAACTCCCTCCGTCCACAGCTGACATTGCCGCCACAGACCAATGAAGGTGAGGAATTTCGAGTTTCCCTCAGAAATTCCAGGCAGGAATAATTTATCCTTTCTCCAGACATTTCCAGTCCTTGTTTCAAACTAGCACATGTCTGTCATTATGGAAATCTCTCCCTCACACAGCAAAAAAGGTTTCAAATGCGCTCACTCAGGTCTGTCTCTGGGTGCAGCTAACCACTATGGAAGTACAAGGGCCTTACGGGAGATGTGAAATGTGAGCATGTGACTTTCAGGCCAGGGTGCACAAGCAGGTTATCACTCAGAGGCTGAAAAAAGACTCCAGTGGGTGAACAGAGCTGCAGTGTCAGTGCACACACACACACACACACACACACACACACACACACACACACACACACACACACACACACACACACACACACACACACACACACACACACACACAGATTCCAAAATATCCCAGAGGCACTTCACAAAGAAACCCAACAAGCAACCCATAGAACAAACTGCCTTATTATTTTGTTGATCTTAGCAGCTACTCTGCCGTTAAAGGACTCATGAAGCAGACTGGATTTGTTTCAGGCACATAGTAACCATGGGCTTTGAGTGAATTCAGAATAATAGAATGGAGGTAGAAAGGCGCAGGTCATTTTTCATAACTGTCAGCCAGCAGCAGGGCCTTTAGGCTGAAATATAGCTGGTGTGACAATTTCTATTTGCCCTGAACGACCTATGTGTCACTACCAGGCTCTTTGTGTTTGTGTGTCTGTAGGGAAGTATACTACACTGGGAATCTGTTTGAATACTTCCTAAAATGTGTCATGTTAATAAGCAATGCATTACTGCACAACACTTATTACAGTAGAGGAGAATACATTTTATTTTACTGGTACTCATTAGTGGTACTTGCAGCATTAAAATATGATATTTTACAAGACTATTTCAGGCAGAAAGTAGATTTAGTCCACAGACATTGTTTCTGAAAAGACAAGGCGCTGCTGATTTTGTAAATTTTAAATGCTTTAACAACATAAAATAGAAAAGGAATAGGTGGACTGACCGTTTAACTAAAGGAAGAAGCATGGATATAACCATAAACTTACACATGATCCATGCAGATTCAAAACCTGTGAGCGTCACTGTCAGGACACTCCTGGTCGTCACCATGCCAACAGCACAATTTAACAAAAAGTTGGTATATACCTCTGGCACATGGGTACAAATAGCCTAACTAGACACTAAGCATGACAAGTGGTTTACTGAATGTTCCCACTGCTGCCATCCTTTCTGTCCACTTTGACTACGGCTGGCAGTTCACTTCCAAACAAAATCTAATTTGGCACGCTTTCAATTGGCTGTGGAACACACACTAACTCCTGAGCTGTTCAGTCTCCATCTTGGTTAAGGCCAGTGTGTGAGACCCCCAGGCCTACCAAAAACACACACACACACTCCCACCATCCAAACTTATACAAGAGGTCATGACCCCGTGAGTTCAGGAAGAGAGGTGAGAGTTTACACTGGGAGGCTAGACAGGGTTCTCAGACCTGCTAAACATGCCTGAACCAGTGAGAAGCTGCTTGGAATTTTACCTAATGGACAACAATACCACTGATGTGTGTGTGTGTGTGTGTGTGTGTGTGTGTGTGTGTGTGTGTGTGTGTGTGTGTGTGTGTGTGGTAAGAGAGAAGAATAGGGAGAGCGAAAGTTTAAAACAATCACAATGGGATTGCACAGTCATTTAAGAAAGAAGGCAAACATTCTGAGACATACATTGAAGAAGAGTTGTATGGGAGGTCAGTAACACCAAACACACACACACACACACACACACACACACACACATCCATCTCACCTGTGTAATCACATATAAATACACACTGCATCATTAAAACCTAAGCTCCAAGCTCCTGAACAAACACTCTGCTTTTGACATCTCCCCTTCAATCAGAGCATCCTGGATGCAGCACCCCGTCATCACCGCTAGCAAATAAAGCACCACATTGTGGCCTGTGTGTTTGTGTGTACTGGGCAGAAGCTGATGCAATGCCTGTGGAAATTGGCACGACTCTGAGAGCACGCTCTATGAGTCCTTGTCAGGCTTTAATGGAGTCTCACTTCAATTTTTACAATCTGTTCTGTCCCTGGAAGCTCACTTAAGTATAGTAGAGGACAGGTCTCCATGTACAGTGCTCCTGTTACAGAATACAGTTATGTAATTCTTAACTAACTCATTTCCAAGGATGACAGACAGGATGTTATTAAAGGCTTAAATGTCAGTTCACCAAAATAACAAAAAGAACCACATATTCTGACTTACTTCATGTGGAACATGGTCAGGTCTGCTGCCACCCAATACAACAGAGGTCAATGAAATATCACTGGTGGTGCTCACAGCCTGGAAAATTTAACATGAGCAGCAGCATACCTGCTGTGTGGATAATCCATAAAACACCAATGGTTTCAGTGGGGTCGTTTCTTTGTAAGATGATTTCTTTGTAATGTGGTACTGTGAAGAAAACTGTTTAAAAAAGAAAAAGACATTGCTACAACATGTTAGTTTTTATACTGTGAACATCACACAATTAAAATCCATTCACCTCCACTGACTTAGGAAGGTAGCAGATATCTCTGAGTCAGAAATTTCTCAACCTCAGCAGGTAGATCCACAACTTTTAAAGAACAGTTTGATAATCTGAGATATATTGTATGTTTATTTGATTTCTTGCCAGCCAGCAGTCAGTTAGCTTAGTTTAGAATAAGGACTGTAACAGGCTCTGTCCAAAGGCAGCAAAATTCACATAACTCAAAAAAAAGAATGTGTGTGTGTGTGTACTATTTAATACATTACATCTTGTTTGTTTGTTCTGTAAATTAAACTGTTAAAAGTTTTGCATTGTTATGGGGCTTGTACCCTGAACTATTGTGTTATGGAATGCTATATCTATTATGACTATTGTGTAAACATGGTTTTGAATTGATGAGATATTTCAGAAGTCCTCTATGAAAATAAACCTCAATGGTAAAACATGTTTAAATAGAATGAAATTCATCTGCTTTATATCTGTAAATGGTGTCACTGCCCCCTCAAGTCTCAGAATGATTAGAATTTTTGTACAGTGTACTCATAGCAAGTGAAACCCATATGTGGTCATGTTATGGTTAGGGTTTCTACTTGACAGTGGCTGATTATTGTTCCTTAAACACTTGCACAGGGGTGTGTTAGTAAAGCTAAAATGTGATCCAGTTAAATATCTGTTTGGAGGCTGTTACAGTATACAAAAGGTTTAAGGCTTTCTGCTCTAACTGTCTCCAGAACTGATTCAGTAATCCAAGTGGCAACATTACAGTCAGTGGGACTTACTATTTGGGTGTCTAAAGTACTGTACTGCATCGTGGTGATTTTCTTTGTGGAGATAAGAAACTGTCAACCCATGACAATGGCACCACAGGTGACTCACACAGAGCAGTGGATGTAAACTAGCCTATGTCTCCTAAATCACATGTAGCTCCTGTTCTCTAATGTACCTCCTGATTCACCAACCCCATCACTTACATACAGGGTTCTCCGTAACTCTGGTGCACGTCATCACATGTAGACTGATACAGTTCTGTAACTGCAACTTTAACTTCACCAGTGGACACTACAGCATTGATACTAAAGAGCTTTCTTTTATAGATGGTCATTGTACCCTTACGTATCATGATAAGAGTATTAAAAATTTGTTTTAAAATGCCCTGAAGAAAGATGCAGGACATCTAAACTCAGCCACTGAGCCCCGCAGACTCTCTGTCTCCGGCAGCATTACGGGATCATCATTTCTGTTGGGGACGATTCCGTTCCTCTTCATGCAAAGCAAAGACCCAGAAAGCATATTCCTCCTCTCTATACAATAAACTCGTTGTACTGTGGGTCAGTACACCACTAGATAGTACTGTAGGTGCGCGTCTGAACCCATGTTCCTTTTTTTGGCGCACAGAGCCACCGCTGTACAACGCTCGGGTATCATATCCGGGAGTGAGGTTTATTAAATGGAGGTTTGGCAAAACAACAAAACAAATTTCCAAATGTAAACATAATTAGAACCTCCGCTGAAAATGAGTGTATATTGATTAGTATATGATCCATTGTTAAACGCACGTCTCCAGACGTGCGCGGACCAGAGATGACATTCTCCAAACCGAGTCGTCATTATAGCTTGGTCCTTGGAGTCGACTTAGATGGTAAGAACCACTATATGGATCAAATTTGAATAGCTTAAGTCTATACATTAAGTGTCCACTTTCCCAAACCCCGCTGCCACCCACCTCACCAAGCCACGTTTCTGGAGACAAAAAGCCTCCCCCTGCGATGCCATTTGTCAGCTGAGGGGAAGCGAGCGAACATGGAATAAATGTAAACGCACACACACCACCAAGAAAAGAGCCGCTCAACAAAAGACGGACAAAAGCGCTACAAGACAATCAGTCCAGAGTCGTGTGATTGTGCCACATAAAAGACTGATTTAAGACAGCGCACTCCTGTTGGATAATTTACGCCTTCACATGGCACAAGTATCAGTTATTTCTCTGCTGCGTTACTATACAGCCTGAACAAATCGGCGTGTCAACGTGCCACAAGGCTGCCAGACAAGATGCCACAAATCAATACACACACTTGCGAGAGAGAAGAGAGGAGGGGGTTCCTACCTGGTTGGAACATACTTTGGAAATAAAAGATGACCAGAATAAAGGATCCCAAACAAGTGGCAAATACCATCCGGCATATCCTGCTCATCCTCATCAGTTCGCTCAGAGTCTGTTTCATTGCCGGACGGAGAAGCTGGAGGGAGCTGCTGGCTTTGTGAAGGAATGAGGGGCCGGTTTTGTTTGAAGCTCTGGAGCTCTGCTGGTAGCTTACGGATGAGGATTGTCCTCCTGTCAATGAGCTGAACGCATCTAACACGGAGTGTACCACTGCAGGGCTAGGAGAGGGGGAGGAGGGCAGAGTCGGCGAGAAGGCACCTGCGCTCGGAGGAAATGAACGCGTCCAGATGTGCGCTTCAATTCAAGAGTATGACCTTAAATCATCTCCAGAAGAACACTACAGGAATGTAATAATGTATGGAAAGAAAAAAATTATTCCTAAAATATCTTCAATAAAGGTAGGACGAGCTGATGGACTGACTGACTATTTATGGCTTTTATTATTTCCCTCATTACATTTTGGATACTATTTCTAACTTTGAGGAAATAGCTTTATAGCATTTATAGTAATTTAACTTTTAAAACTTAGTTTTAATAATACGTGTAGCCAAAGGAAATTTGGGGTAAAATTGAAACCACTTTAAAAAGTGCCCATTTTATCAGTAGTGGAAAGAAGTACATTTACTTAAATGCAATTTTGAAGGTACTTGTGCCTTATCTGACTACAGTGGTGGAAGTATTCACAATTTTTAAACAACAAAGCCTTCCAAAAATTCACCAAATTACAAATGTGGTTGCAAAGTTTTACCAAAATAAAAGCAGCCTACAGAAAATTGTATGCACACTTCTTATGCAGACAAAAAGTCTGTTACATGATTGAATGATGTTTATTGAGGCATTCGTGTGTACGCGTACAGTAGCACTTTAATAAAGCTATAATCTATAACAATGCAGTGAACTGATAAGATGGTCCTATGTTTTGAGTCAAATCTTAATCAGCAAACTAGCTGCAGCTGTAAAAGAGTACAAAAGCACTGCAAATATGCACAGTGGTGGAAAGATTCTTTACTCGCTGTCAGCAAAAGAAGCAATCCTACAGTTTCAAAATATTTCATCAAAGTAAAAATCCTGCGTGCACAAAATGCACTTATTTAAAGCATCATACATAAATTATATGGTAGATCAAACTGCCCAACAGAAGCATTAGTGCCACCAAAACTACTACTATGTTTGTGCAATAATCCAGTAATGTTGCTCATAATACCTAAGTAGCTGCTTTTAAAAAACAATTTGAACAAAGGACTTCCACTTTTCATGATGTAGGCTATTGTTACATTGTGATTTTATTTATTTCAGATCCTTTACTTCTTCCTCCACAGATTTATGAGTAGTAACAGTACTAGTAGAAACATGATAGCAGTATTAGTTTAAAAAAATAATTTTATCAACCAATCGGTCTCAGTTTCAGATTTATTTCCCTTCCCATGCTGAATGTATGTAGTCCTTACCTATTCCACATGCTGCAGTGCCACCTAGTGGTGTAAGAGCACACACTACCAAGATTAGGTGAAACCCCTGAACACAGCTCAAGAAAGTAATAGACAAACCTTCATCTTAACCTTGCTCTCAGACCTGCTTACATCAGATTGTGTTCTAATGATATGCAGGTAGATCCCATAAGCGAAAGTCTTGTGCACTTTTTCTGATTAGGATATTTGTCTTACACTAGCCTGGAAGGTGTTTGGAGGAGAACCTTGGAAAATGCGCATCTGATTGTAATGAATCAAATGACTATCCAATTGTAATCTAATAGTAAGGTACAGCAAGCACACAGCAGCACAATGCACAGCAGTACACAACACAACAGGCCACAACAGGCTTTTAAGAATATCTGCACTGCCTGCATTCATTTGTATGAGACATTTCACATAACGACTCACAAGAATATTCCAGCAGTTGTTTTAAGTCCACCATTATGCTTGGAGTCATAAGAATATTAAAGAAGAAAAGCATAGAAATGAGAACAATAATGGTAATAATATTCATAAAAAGTACAGTTCCTGACCTCAGGAACTCTTGGCTGTTGTCTCAATAAAGACACTATGTGCATCAGTTTAAGCAACAGCAATAAACATTAATTTGGGTTAATCCATTATGAAATTTAGGCTGTAAAACCCCTGCGGCTCATGCCATCGCACGCCATGTACGTACTGTAAAATGCATCAGATGCCAGAGTTTTATCACTCTCCTGCAGCCTTTAAAACCTCTGCTACATTAAAGCTTACAGCATCTTTCAACACAGACTTTGAGAACAGCTTATCCGCCTTTAGAGCCATAAAATGCATCAAGCGGGACTGTATATTTCAAAGTTATGCTTGAAGCACATTGTTTATAAAAATGCAAACAAACCTTCAAAGGAGCACAGAAACAAACAGTTGTTATGCAACCAAGGCTGACAGCAGGGGACTAACCTCAACAGTGTTTCCCCAGCATCAATGCCTCAGACATACACTGGGTCTGGATCAGTGATTATTACTAGCAGACCAAGAGACTGTACTGCCCTGCAAAAGTTAAATTTGTGAGAAAATATACTTCTTTTGTCTTCTGCTACATAAAAATAATGCATTAATAAACAATAAACAACGATAGCTGAAACAGAAGTGACTGGTGGAAACTGTTTATCTATAAACCTACTGTATAGGTGTGAGGTGCAGCTATAATCTATTCTTTCATCAAAGCAGACAGAAATGCATGTTACTACAGCCTATTATAGCATCTTTTATATGACTCTGATCACTTAAAGCTGCATTAACCCATCCACACATTTTTAAAACCGTATCCAGGACAAGTCATGGTGGCAGCAAGCTAAAATCCTATAAGGGAATCCTGAGGTATTCCCTGGGCAGACACAATATAATCTCTCAAATGCATTCTTGGTCTCCCCCATGGTCTTCTACCAGTTGGATGTGCCTGGAAAACCTCCAAAGCATGGTGCCCAGAAGGGCACCTAATCAGATATCCTAACCACCTCAACTCTGCTTCTCACTGAAAGAAGGAGCAGCTCTATTCTGAAACACAACCTGGATGTCCAAAGCTGAGCCCAGCCACCTTATAGAGGGAACTCATTTCAGCCGCTTGAATTCACAGTCTCATTCTTTCAGTCACTAACCAAAGCTCGTCACCATAGGTGAGGGTTGGAGCATAGGTTGATTGTGAAATTGACAATTCCCTCTTCACCACATCTGTCAGGTACAACACCGACATTACCGATGATGCTGCCCCGATCTGCCTGTCAATCTAATGCACCATTTTACCCGCACTCATCAACATGACCCAGAGAGACCTAAGCTGCTTTGCCTGGAGCAGCAGCTCATTCCTAATTCAAAGGAAGCAATCCACCATTTTGTAAAAAAACCATGGCCTCCAACTTGGAGGTGCTCAGTCATCACAAAAGCCTCTCAATTTGGCTGCAGATCAACAACAGACCATGCTGAAGCATACAGTATGATGAAGCCAACAGAACCGCATCTGCGAAAAGCAGAGAAGTGATTCAGAGGACCTCAAACTTGATTCTGTCCTACTCTGACTGTGCCTTCCTTGAAATCTTATCTTTGAAAGTCATAGCAGCAGCCCTAATATGCCATACTCCTGATATTACACCGCACAAAACTCCCCAAGGGATTATGGAGTTCGAGTGTCATTATGAGCCACAAAACCAGAATAATGGGCTGAAACACACTAAAATACTTTGCAGACCTGAGGGAAACCGTTGTGGATGATAACTGCTGGATAATCACTACACAGTCATTTGACTGAAAATTCGTTGATAATTTTTGGATTAGTATAACTTTAATCTGCAAGATGCTGTATTCACTTAACACTAAAATTACTCAGTTCTAGAGATAGCTGCTTTAAAATCTGAAGTAAGCTTTTCACAATTAAATGCACTGCTTCCAAAGTATGTTCTATTATGGTAACTGGCAACTACTGTCAGGTCTGCTTGGCGCGACCTGCCTCTCCTCCGCCTTTCTTTCCTCTGTTCTCTCGATCATGCGGGATCTGCACCTCAGCTGTGTTGCATTCCAGTAGTTAGCGACTCGTTTGTCAGTGCGCACAGCTGGAGTGGATCCCGATGATTACCTGTCCTCCTTATTTATACCTCTGGCAGACACTCTGTTGTTGCTGGAGCATTATTTACCTTACTTAACTAACATTACGTGCATACCCCGTAACAGCCATATGTTTCATGGTATGTATTGTATGTCATTTTGTTTTCCATGCTGACAGTTCCTGTGCTGTGGATTTCCTTCTTCGTTCGCCAATCCTCCTGGTCAGTTTGTCTATTCACCTGTCCGTCCTGTTCCTCCCACTCTCCTGGTTTCTGCCGTTAGCCTGTCTGCTCCCCTGGTCGTCCTGGTCTCCTCCACCATCTCTGCCCTACTTTGCTGTTATATGTACATGGACTGTGCTACGTGTTTTTTTTTTTTTTTTTTTTTGTTATTTTGTTTTTTCCCCATTAAACCTTTTACTAGACCTGGGTCAGCACTCTTGAGTCCTACCTCAGTTCTCCCTCACCCTCCTGGTGAGGGGGACTAAACCTTAACAACTAGCAGCCTTTGCCAGCTATAAAACAGGTTTGGCAGTCAACAATCTGAAGTGTGACCTTCTAAGCAAAATTATCTACAGAAATTTGTCAGAAAAATTTAAACAATGATAAATGATTCAGTGCATGAAGGTGAAAATCACACACAGTAAATACAGAAACGTTACTTAACAGAGATAAAGTATGTTGGAGCAAACTAACAATGATGTGATGGACATGCATTTTAGCATGAGTACTTTACTCATATTACTTTATTTTACTGTAGTTACACCAAATCAGTCATTTTCACATGTGTTATTTTACATATACCTGTATATAGCTCAGAGACATTTACAAGTTTGAAATCCAGGCACCCCTGACCTGAAAAACATGCTGTGAGTACACAAACAGCCAGTCCAGAAAGGTCCTGGTTATCTGTCACCAGGACCGATGATTTTTATTTAACACTTGATGGATGATACACACACACACACACAACAAGTTTGTCTCCAGTACAGAACAGAGGCAGTCATCTATGGCGCCAACTCACACACTTGCTGTCTCTGCAAGGCGCTGACCTGGCCATTAAGAGCAACTTGGGGTTAAGTGTCTTGCCTGAGGACACTTCAACACGTGGACTGGGGAGAACGGGAATCAAACCACCGACTTTCCAGTTGGGTGACCACCACTCTATCTCCCGAGCAACAGCCACAATTAAATATTTTATTAAGTTTTGAAAATGTCAAGTATTAAGTTGCTCAAGTTTTATGGGGTCACTCTCCAGCTGGGTTTATTGAATATTGTCCATGAATAATTCAAACATGCAGCATTCAGAGCAAGAAAGTCACTTGAATGTGATGCTCGGGCACTGACCCTGGACAGTGGCTCTTTTTCAAACACTGAACGTGGTAATAATGAAAAACTGAGCAAAACTGAGCTCTCAGCATAGTTCCACAAAGCACAGCATGACAGGATATCAAAAAGGTGACAGTGAATTATTAACACTGCCAGAGGAAAAAAATCAATAGGTGTCAAAAGCAGGAGGTAGCCATTTTGGGCTTTAATAGCACTGAATCGCAGAGGAAAAAAAAGGACCTGAGTTGGGCTGACCCAGGGTGGATACTTGCAGTGGCATGTATCACATTTCATTACTGGAGGATATCTACAGCACTGAGGCCCAGGCAGGTGCGAAGCTGAGGGCTCATTGCAGGGGGCGTGAGGACTTGTACCGGGCTCTTATACAACCTCATGCTGTATGGAGCTGTGAGACAGATCCAAGGGGAAGCATAAAACATACTGACCACAGCTACATGCATAGAGCTAGGTGGTTACTCTTCGCTAAAATAGGGCTAGCAGCGGGATACTTGCCAAACTCTTGTGCAGAGAAGTTGTGAGCAGAACACTTAAGGCCACAAGATTCTTCCTCTGTCCTTGCTCCTTATGCTTCAGTGTATCTGACTTGTATTTTTTTCCCCATTTTGCCCATAATGATAGAATAGCTAGCTTACACACACTGCCCAAATCAGAGACAGCACACACACATCTGCACTTCAAGAGCTACGGTCCCGTTCTACAAAATAATGTGTGCATGCACACACACAGACAGACACACACACATACAGATATCTCCAGACTGACACCTGACATCTCTCTCTACAGACTGACATTTGTAATGATGATGACACGTCAGCTCTCGGTTTTAAAATTACAGTATTTCAGAAATTTTCCGACCTGGACATTTTTTTATGCTTTCATTGTTCCTTCAAAAAAGGAGGGAAACAGAAATACAGCAGACACGCTAATGTGACACCAGCAGTCAAATTGACTCAAATTGCAGGGGCCCTATTAAGACGGTACTAAGGGGGTGAAATTAACGATCATACAAGATATGCTACAGTGACTTTTTATATTTTGCCACAATCAAAACAGACTTTATGACGCCATGTTCTAGTCAGAAAACGAGCAGCAGTGTTGTGCATGGTTATCCAAAGGATAAGCTTTAAGTTCTTGATGCTTAAATAAAATACACCATCATTTTGGGTAATGAATTCATGTCACACTCAAAAAGTTTCAATCAGATTTATCCAAGTTCTGTCTGCTTGAAGTCTCATATACCTGAAATCAGAATTGCCATGTGAACTGAGTCCCTCCTCTATAATGTGTGAGTCTTTAATGACAACTGAAGTGTGTGTGTAAGTGCAGAGTACCTTAATTTGTGTTTGAAAGTTGCAAGGTTCACAAACAAGCCACCAAGTTCCTGTCCAGGTCCTAGTTACCTGTCCATGACATGTTCAGGTTATTATGCAAGCCTGAGTCAGTAATGTGATATCTTAACCAAACCTTAGTGCATGTGTGAATCCTAGTCACCACAGTGTTCATATCTACTGAACACTTTGTTAGGCTGATATAATCATAGTCATGTAATGGTGATCCATGTGATGGTCCAATAAGTAAATAATAATACTAGTCATTTCTAAATTGGGTCACAGCTGAACCAAGAAGTCTGTAAACTGTCATGGATGTTTACAACGGACAGTTTGGCTAATAATTCCATCACATATTTATATTTTATATTCAGCCCTCTCACTGGAGAGGGACCCATGAGGTCAAGCATCAACACCCACAGTTCCCTAAAAAAGTGATGGTAGAGAAAAACAGACTAAATGAGAACTACAGTCAGACAGTGACTGAGAGGAGAGAAATTAAACATTCTAATGGTTGAAGTGTTAGCCCTAGCCAATAACTAAGCTTGACACAAAGATGATTGGAACAAGTTACAAAAGTGCAATCAGTCAAGCAAGAGAGAAAACTGAGGACATGATTCATTTGTTACTCCTGTTCCCAATCACAGGAAGCCTGATGACAATAATAACTTTACACAGTGCATGATCTTTGACCTTCAGTTGGTACGGTATCTCCCTCCCTGGTGTACTTTTGCCCTGTGGGAAGCAAACTACTGCCCCCTTATTCAACATCGGTTTGAAAAATATGGCTTGTTTCTGCATAAATAACAATGCACCTCTTTAATTTAGATGTTCACAAACACAATTAGCCTATATACATTTAAGCAATATGTTGACCTCATGCATAAAATATGAACAGCAGTGACTGAATGAATTATTTCAACTACAAACACTGTGTCCACCCGATGCCGGCTGTGATTGGCTCCAGCCCCCCTGCGACCCCGTTTGGGATTAAGCGGTATAGAAAATTAGATGAGATGAGCAAAACACTGTGTGAATGTTATCTTTAGTCTATCTTTGTAATTGTGTTGTAACACACAAAATAAGAAATCAGTTATGTAGTTTCCATAACAACTGTAAAACAACAAATACTGTAAATTCTCTGTTACTCATAGCAAAACTAAGTAACAACTAATCTGAACTTCTGTCAGCTCGTCAACCAACCAAAGAACCATCCGATTGGTGGGTCCATGTTTCATCACTGTGTCCTGCCACTGAGAATTTTCTTCTGGTGTTAGGCCTGGAAGCACAGACACACAAAATCAAAAAGTACAGACACACTCAGGAAGACTTTGGCCCCTATCAGAACCGGATCAAGAAAATTTCAGATGGGGTGGCCAGGTTGAGGCACAGATTGAGAGGGATGGCACATTTGAAATACATGTAAAAACTAAATAAACCCCTAGTTCTACAAAATAATTAACCATACAAAAATCTAATTAAGAATCAAAGTGTTTTGTGTAAAAATGAGACATATATAGTGCTTTTTTTTTTAGCTAGCTTTGGCTGTGCTCCGTATTTAGTCCCAGACAGGGACATCACTACTGCATGACTATCCAATGCCACCCCTGGCCACCCACCTATGGCCCATAGGCTCCCAGTGACTGAAAGCTAGATGTGCACAGAATGAGGTCAGTCTTCAGGTGGCTTTTGCATACCATGCAGTAACTTTGCATAACATTTTTTGTAAAGTTAAAAACAATCACAGTGGTGTTATGATGTGGAATCTAATCAATTAAGAAATAATTTCAGGTTTCTCACTGAAAAATTGTTGTTGAGATAAAATGTTAGAACTTCTCTATCTGTAACCGGTTCCCACACATAACTCGCCTCGTCTACCTTAACTATACTGGTTTTCATTTACTTTGAGGCTACGTTTTATGTTACACCCTCTAAAAACCATTTTAATCTTTGGTAAAACAGGATTTTGTAAGTATTTGTGCTCTTCTGCAGCGACGAGGGAGGAAAAGCACAGCTTAGTAAAAGCCTGAGCAGTTTTCATTAAGAACAAGCGGGTGGGGTTCAAACAAACCCGTAAACTAGAAGAGATGCGTTCCTTTGTTGCCATAAATGTAGGAATTATGAAAATTCCGAACGATAACGAACGAAATAACGAATTTGACATATATACATAGCTACCGAAATGATATGCTGAGATGGGAAACAATGATCCACACAAAGCACAATAACAAGTTGTTGTGCATGCTTTTCAGGAAAAAAAATACTACAGCTTTGGGTAATGAATTCATGTTTGATGTGTATTTTGTCCTTATTCTGTCGGCTCAGAATGACTCCTAAACAGACTGAAACAACAGCTAAAATATACTATTTTAAAATCGTCTACCGCATTCAATAAACAACACTCAATGTCTTTCAGTGTCACGGCTCCTAAGTACATGCTGAATTGTTAAACCTGTAAGACTGGAGCTTGTGAGGAGTCGTGAACGTACCGCGGCCCTCTGTCGATGACAGGCGGTAGTACAGCTGCGGCTCCGCGCTGGGACTGGTTCTTTCGCAGCCATTTTCTGTCCAACCAAACAGCCGTCTCAGGAAGGTAACCAACCAGGGCTTCATTGCAGGTTTGTGCCCGGCTCCGGCCAATGATTGGTAACGATTTCTCGTTAGCTCGAATGGAAATGTCCGTCTCTGTCTGATTTTTTTTATTTGTTGTCTGGATGAGTGAGGGCTGCTCATCAGGAAGTATCCAGCGAGCCAAACTTTAAAAATTACTACTTAACATTTCGGCCAAGGCCACGTCTTTCTCTGTACGACAAAGAAACAGGCCATTGCATTCTGGGCTGGCGCGGGTTGCAGCGGATTTACAATGAAAGTTTTGTCAAGGGACACAGTGTACCTGTATAGGTTAACTACAGGAGGTAATAGTCCATTTGATGGCTTCTTTTCGTTGTGTTCATCTCGCTGGTTTATGAAGACAGTGAGCTGGTTAACTAGCTAGGTTAATATTAAGCTAGCTGACGTTAGCTAAAATATGTCATGATGTACCCGCGTCTCACAACTGCTGGTTAACATAACGTTACTTTAGCTAAACATAGATTCACGTGTTTAGCGTGTGGCTAATGTGAACTGCCCACACCTAACCACAGGTTACAGCTGTAACTTTACAATTAGCACGTTTGTCCATAGGAGTTAAAATGCTAACCTCTCGAACACGATTAGCGTTAGCTAACGTTAGCGTTGCAAGTGTCGTACCAGAGTGAATGTCTGAAAGCCTCATCAGATTTTAACGGTAGGTTAAAATTGCACGGAATATGAAGACGAACTGTGTTTTAATAGCTCCCCTTTCTCACTTCTTATTATCTTTAAAATGGAAGCGATTTTCCATGCAGCATTTGGCACCATACCAGACCCAGCCTAAGACCTTGTCTGCTTGGAAAATTGTTTCAGTTTTCCGACCAGAATGACATGGAAATCATCATTGAAACAGTTATTTGTAATTATTTATGCATATGTGTTTATTACGGCAAGCTCCATGTAGCATGTTCATTGTGCTGGTATGATCAATGCCCATCACTTTGGTCATACTTGATATTTTAAGACGGAGATTGAGTCTTTGTATGAAGAAATGATTACTAAAGATTCTAGTGCAGAGATGAAATGCAGTGCGAGTTTTCTATGATTGTAGTAACAGTGGAGCCTTAGGAGTCAGTGCTCCCTGAAAGACATGTGGTCCAACCATAGTCTCAAACTGGCTTCAAATTTCAGTTTATAGGACTTCAGTTTAGATAGCAGAAGCTTCAGCTGTGTCAATCCAAAATTGCCAAAAACCTTACTGCTGTACAGTCCTATGCAAAGGTTTTAGGCCCTCAAGTAAAGTGAAGATGCTTATGTGGCTGGTTGTCAAAATAAAAGCACACAAAACATCAATATTTACATTTTTGCATCAGTGTCATCATATCGCAGGGTGTTTGATTGATGTATCAAATCAGATCAATGGATTGTTACAGCCCGAGTCTTTACCAATTTTTAGTGTTTTGTCACCTCAGCTTCCTAGAGCTTGCAGTGCTGCTCTCCTTAAAGAATAAGGACAGAGCACAAATTCCCTGCACAGAATAAAATGACAATGAATTCGGTGTGTTCACCATGTCCGTGAATTCAGAACTTAGTTTAGCTTATTGATGTGTTCTGTAGACCTCCACTGATGATCAAATACAAACACTGAGCCACAATGCTGCACTGGGTAACATGAGAAATGAAAAATATTAGGCCTGAAGGACACCGTAGACCCCCTGCAGTTCACCTACCAGGCAAACGGGTCAGTGGATGATGCAGTGAACATGGCACTGCATTACATCCTGAAACACCTCGACTCCCCAGGGACCTATGCACGGGCCCTCTTTGTGGACCTCAGTTCGGCATTCAACACCATCATCCTGGACATCCTCCACTCCAAACTAACCCAGCTCACTGTGCCTGTCCCCACCTGTCAGTGGATTACTAGCTTTCTGACAGACAGGAAGCAGCAGGTGAGGCTGGGGAAAAACCACATCCAGCACCCGGACAATAAGCACAGGTGCCCCCCAGGGATGTGTGCTCTCCCCTCTGCTGCTTTCACTCTACACCAGCGACTACATCTCGAAGGACCCCTCTGTCAAGCTCCTAAAGTTTGCTGATGATACAACGGTCATTGGTCTCATCCGAGACAGTGACGAGTCAGCCTACAGACGGGAGGTTGAGCAGGTGGTCCTGTGGTGTAGCTGCAACAACCTGAAGCTGAACACACTCAAAACAGTGGAAATGACAGTGGGCTTTAGGAAAAACCCTGCCATCCACAGCAGTACTGTATCAGCAGCGAAGTCCTACAAGTTCCTGGGCTCCACTATCTCCCAGGACCTGAAGTGGACGTCCAACATCAGGACCATCACCAAGAAGGCACAGCAGAGGATGTACTTCCTGTGCCAGCTCAGGAAGTTTGACCTGCGGTCATTGGTCTCATCTGAGACAGTGATGAGTCAGCCTACAGACGGGAGGTTGAGCAGCTGGTCCTGTGGTGTAGCTGCAACATCCTGGAGCTGAACACGCTCAAAACAGTGGACTTCAGGAAGAACCCCCCCTCACCATACTTGGCAGCACTGTATCAGCAGTGAAGTCCTACAAGTTCCTGGGCTCCACTGTCTCCCAGGACCTGAAGTGGACGTCCAACATCAGGACCATCATCAAGAAGGCACAGCAGAGGATGTACTTCCTGTGCACCTCACAGGTCAAAAGGAGGGTGGAGAGGATTACTGCAGACCCCTCACACCTGGGACATAATCTGTTCGAACTCCTCCCCTCTGGACGGCGCTACAGGTCACTGTGCACCAAGACAACCAGGCACAGGGACAGTTTCTTCCCCAGAGCTGTCACTCTGATGAACAGTTGACCCACAACAGTATAACTGGACAATGACCCTCAGTGCAATACCTGTAAATATACATTATACAGATCTGTACAGGTCTCTATTTTTAAGTACTTTATTTTATTCCTATTTATTTCCTTTCACAATGAGCATTCCTTTGTCTGCATTGTTTATACCATTTATTTTGCATTGTTAATACTGTTTTTGTTATACTACATAGCCTTATGTTTGTTTACAGTTTACTTGCCCCTTGCATGGGGATATGTACATACACATTGAGAGCCGATGTACCAGTGTCAAATTCCTTGTGTGTCCGACACACCTGGCCAATAAAGCAGATTCTAAATTATTTCCAAAAAAGTGCTCCAAAGGCTAAGAGTGTTTTTGTTTATTTGTTGTTGTTGTTGTTTTGGTGTGTGGTGTTTTTGTTTGTTTGTTTTATAAATATATACAGTGTCTGAAGTAAGAGAGTCAACGGCACTTGCATTCGTTTGTTTACTCTGGTAGCTTCTTGCTACCCGTGATGTGATAGTAGTGCCTGCTTCTCCACAAGATTTTTGGACTGGCAAGCAAGAAATCCAGCTCAGGGTCCCTTAGAGTTGGAAATATGTTGTCTTGAAAATGGTTCAAGTTTGTTTTTGTTTGGTTTTGTTTTTTTTTATAAACTCTTGTCACGTGTTGGCCATTTTGCAGTTATCAAAGGAATTAAATCTTTTTTTAACTGAGAAAAATGTTTACACTTTGGTGTATAGTGCGCACTATACACAATTGCAGTTCTACAAAACATTTGATTTGATTTGATTTATTCTTTCAAACATGTAACGACAGTCAGTATGTCAACACACATAATTTCACACACATCCACAAATACATTATCAATTTGCTTATACCTAGTACATGCTTGAACGGAGTAGGAAGAAGTTAGACTTATCTAGTCCTACCCCATAACATCATCTTACCATCATTGGTTTGCAAGCAGTATTACTACATAGATAATTTTGTTCTACACCACTCTAGTGATATACTAAAAAATATTACAGATTGTTAACATTCTTACATAATTACATACTTTGATAATTATCTTCTACATCACACAAGTAGAATTATTACAGAGTGTTAACATTCTTACACCACACCCACAATGTTCCACCTAATTAATCATTAAACCTGTTCTTGCATATATCTTGATTGACACATACCTTTATATTTATGTTTAAACTCATCAATTCTCTTACTGTTTTTTTATGTCCACACTTAAATTATTCCATAGTTTTACCCCACTTATGGAAATACAAAATCTTTTTTTGGTTGTACGTATAGCATGAATTTTTAAATTTAACTGACCCCTTAAATTGCTGGGTAAACTGCAAACTCGTTTTAGTTTTTGAATTCCACCAGGTAATAAATTGTTCCTGGCTTTATACATAAACACAGCAGTCTTATATCCCACTAAATCAAAACATTTTAACAATTTAGACTGTATGAAAGCTACATTGGTGTGATCCCTATATCCCATCTTATGCACAATTCTTATCGCTTTTTTTGTAATATATACAATAGTTGAAGTGAGCTTTTGTATGTGTTTCCCCAGTTTTCAACACCATACTCCAAGTATGGTAAAATCAGTGAAAAATACAAAATGCGTAGTGCTTTACCGTCCAAAATATATCTCACCCTTGCCAATATCGATATGTTTTTTGCTATTTTGTGCTGAATATATCTGAATTTTGAACCTGGTGGAATTCAAAAACTATTTAATGAAAGGGAAGGGGGATATAATTTAAGGGGTCAGTTAAATTTAAAAAATCATGCTATACGTACAACCAAAAAAAGATTCTGTATTTCCATAAGTGGGGTAAAACTATGGAATAATTTAAGTGCGGACATAAAAAATAGTAAGAATGTTAACACTCTGTAATAATTCTTTAGTATATTACTTGTGTGGTGTAGAGGATAATTATTTATGTAGAGATATTGCTTAGGACTTAAAAGTTGTAAGATGATGTCATGGGGTAGGACTAGATAAGTCTAACTTCTTCCTACTCTGTTCAAGCATGTACTAGGTATAAGCAAATTGATATTGGATTATTATTGTTGGATATGTGTGAAATTACATGTGTTGACATATCAACTGTTTTACATGCTTGAATGAATAAATCAAATCAAAATCCAGGTATACTGCTGTAGCTTCAGATGGTTAAAGTAGTCAGTGTGATGTGTATTTATTGTTATAGATGGACGGAGACAGCTCAACCACCGACGCCTCCCAGCTGGGCATCACTGGAGAGTACATGGCATCTGGTCACTATGTTCTCCAGTCTCAAGATGGTGAGGAGCATATAAAGTGTAGCTGGGGTGGGGAACATATATCAGTGTAAAGGGTGAAGTACTAACTCTGTGTGCGTGTTCATCTTCTGTAGATGACGCTGAGGAGAATCTCAATGACCATGAAGAGGGTGGAGTCAAGGAGAACTACAGGGAGCAGGACATCTATCTTCCTATTGCCAACGTGGCTCGCATCATGAAGAATGCTGTTCCTCAAACTGGAAAGGTTTGTGTTGGAGAGAACGGAATGAGCAGATGTAATCAGTTTAATCATGGGTAGTTTATGCTTGCTTATTCTGTAGATAGTACATTACAGTGAGACTGATCATCTTGGTTATTATTCTAAAAATTGTCATTTTGTCTGCAGAGGATATTATCTGATTTCATTGACCTGTATTATCTTTTCTATGAACAATGAATCCCATGTAGGAACCAGTCACATGAAGAGATCTGTGGCAAATAACACATGCTTTTGGAGAATTTCTCATAGTTGGAATTAAGGATGTAGCCAGAGCTTAATTTGTAAATTATGAGGTCCTTTAATATCACAACTGGCCTATTTATGTAGTTCCACATTAAGGGAGCAGCTTAGAGGCAAAACAGCTTGTTTTCTGACTAGCTTTACCCTGTTGCAACTTGAAATACTTTAGCAAATTCAGCTGTCTTTTTCATGTTTTTGCTATGTGGCTGACATAACATTACGCTGAATGTGCACCTGACCCAGTGTCAATTTGCAGTTCAAACTGCGCCACGCATTCTCTATTAGGGACAGGTCAGGACTGCAGGCAGGCCAGTCCAGCACTCGCACCCTTTTTCTCCACAGCTATGCCTTGGTAATGTGTGCAGCTTGAGGTTTTGCCTTGTCTTGTTGAATTATGCATGGGCGTCCCTGGAAAACGTGTACTCTTGAAGGCAGCATAGGTTGCTCCAAAATCGGAGTATTTTTCAGCATTAAAGTTGCCATCACAGAATTGTAAGTTACCGTTGCCGGAGGCACTGACAAAACCCCAGACCATGACAGACTCTGGCTTTTGGACTTGTTGCTGGTAACAGTCTGGATGGTCTTTTTCACCTTTGGTCCAGAGCACACAGCGTTCATTCCTTCCATAAAGTCCTGAAATACTGATTCATCTGACCACAGTACACGTTTCCACTGTGTGATGATCCATCCCAGATGCCTCTGAGCCCAGAGCAGTCAACTGTGCCTCTGGACACTGTTGACCCAGTACAGCTTTAAGCAGCATTTATGGATGTTACTACATATTGTAGTGCCTGACACAGCTGTGCCAGAGTAATCATGGGCCTATTTGATTATATCACTCATAGAAGAGTGGCGATTCTTGATGCAGTGCCGCCTGAGGGATCAGAGAACACAGTCATCCAGCTGAGGCTTGTGCCCTTTACACACTGAAATCCCTCCAGATTCCTTGAATCTTTTAATGTCTATCAATAAAGAGAGGCAAATACAAGCAGCATGTTTGAAACAGGGATTTTTATAAATGCGGAAAAATCAAAACAGGCAGGGACTGGTCTTCTGTCATGATTCATCTCTACTCCCACCGGAGACACATTTGATGTCCGAAAATACTTTAAAAGTGAATTTTGCATAAAATGCCCTTTAATATTAGTTATAGTTTCAAGTCCTCATACAGTTAGCTTAGTAGCCTTGTTTTTTTGTATTTTGTTTTTGTTACTCTTTGCTAACACTTTTGTGAATGAAACAAACATCGCAGAGCAGGTGATTTTATGTAGCAATTTGTGGGTGTAGATCATAATGATCATAGTATTTTAAAGAGACATGGGAGCGTAACAGGGATTCTTATTGCTAAAGAGGCTATTTATTCTGACGGCCTTCCTTTTTCTTATGTATTTGTGGTTTTTTGTTCATTTGTTTCTCAGATTGCAAAAGATGCCAAAGAGTGTGTGCAGGAGTGTGTAAGTGAGTTCATTAGCTTCATCACATCGGAGGCGAGCGAGCGCTGCCACCAGGAGAAGAGGAAGACCATCAACGGAGAGGACATCCTGTTCGCCATGTCCACACTGGGCTTCGACATGTACGTGGAGCCGCTGAAACTCTACCTGCAGAAGTTCAGAGAGGTAAGAGCAATATGGGGCCTGAGGGACCTTGTGTACATGGACTACAGCAGAATGGAACTGTACTGGAAATGTGACCGCAATCAGATGAAGCTATTCTGTTCATTTCTACATTTTCATTTTGTGGACAAATGCCTATTTTATTTAATGGTTTAGCTTCAAAGAAGTTTGGCAACGACACTCGTTTATCAGAGGAGATTTAGAGGTGGTGTTGCCACATCAGTACTTTTCAGTCCGATTAGTGCTCACATTCACATACTGTTGGAAAAATATGCTCTAAAATTGTAAATATGAAAAGCTGGACAGGTCCATATTGGAGCACATTTTAACGTTTAAAACAATGCAGAAATCATCTTAACCAGCTCAATTCATCAGTCTGCCCATTAACATTTCTCTCTGCTTGACGTAAGCTCAATTTCATGCTATGCACATACCCTCGCATGTACACGGACGAGGGGTGCCCACACGTTCCTATTCATACTTCACATCGAGGGTCTGGCTTCTGTCCACATACACCAACAGTTTCTAAGTGTTGTGGTACATGCACAGTTAGGACTTTCACTGTGCAAACTGTCTGCGTGGACACAAACTTTTGCCCTGTAATTGAATGTCTGCACAGAGTCCACATGAACCCTTAGACCTGAGACGACAATAAAAATGGCATCACTCGACCTTACAGGACATAAGGACATGCAAATCTTGCCTCTAACTCTGCAGACAGAGCATGAGGTGACAGTGCCAGTCCTCTCAGAACCTGTTGAACATATGAAATTGTCTAAAGTAATTAGAAAATCAGACTATGATGTTTCTCAGGTCATCAGAAAATGTTTACAAATGCTGTTGGCAAATCATTCTGCTGACTGTGGTTTTTATTAATGCACTGCAGTCCATGTTTATTTCTTAATTTGATTTCATGGTTTCTGCAGGTGATTACCACCTGACTTTTTAACTTTTTTTGTTTTTTTCTCCAGGCAATGAAGGGGGACAAGGGCATCGCTGGGGTGACAGGAGCAGAAAGCCTGGGGGAGGATCTCACCGATGATACCTTCAGTAAGTAGAAGAGACTTTGTTCAGGTTTCTGTCTGTGGTCTGTCTGTTCAGTCTCCATAAAATACACGTTTCTCCCCACATCAGCAAATCCCCTGCCAGCTGGCATCATCACAGCAGACGGACAGCAGCAGAACGTCATGGTGTACACCACCACGTATCAACAGGTACAGCCCACACCTCCTTTCCTCACTCATGATTTAGTAAAATAATGCACACTGTCTCAAACTAAGCTATATGGCTGCATTCCAGATTCCCACTGTGCAACAGATCCAGTTTTCATGATGAGGCCTTACTCCAAGCCTGAATGCAGCGGCTTCACACCCGCACTCACCAGATGCCCGCTGAGCCCGCCACTGGGTAAAGGTTGTCAGACGGACAGGCAGAGAGGAGGGGGAGGCATCTGCACAAACCATGGTGTACAGAGTCAGTACCTGTTGAGTAGAAAGTGTAGTTTCTAGTTGTGAGGTACCAAATGTTTTGGAGTGCATCCAAACCAGCTGGGAAATCTGAGGCTTTATTTTAAAGGCTTATTACATGGTTTAGTGATTGAATTGTTTTGTTATGTTTGTTAATATGGTTGCTTTTGTCTTTTTCGGGGGGGGGGGGGTTAGGGTTAGGGTTAATATAAGGAAATATTGGAAGCTTATTTTTGAAGGCCTTCTGTTCACACAGAAGCTACATTGTTCACATCAGATCACGGAGCTCTTATTTTTTTTAAGTTGACAATTTACCATGTGTTTTTAATGTTATGTAAATCCCCTCAATAAAACTTAAAGTGGTGTTTATATTTTCAGCTTGTTTTTATTCATCACATAAACAGCCTGTGTGCCTCATTTCATATTCAGGCAACTGTGTGCTGTAGCTTTGCTCTCTGTACATTCATGTTTTCAGCTTTCTCCTATATTCATCCATGTACGGCTGAACTGTCCTCCACACCTGAAAGCACACACACAAACCATTAAATCATCACATATGATGCTACACACAGCCAGCAACATACTGCTGTAGGTGTGTTAAGTTTGGGGCAGGCTTGCCTTTTGCTGTCTGATGAGTGAGTGAGCAGCTTCAATGTCAGGACTTGCCACGCGATCTCCATCCCAGGGACTGCATAGACAAGGCTTAGTTAGGACATTAATACTAGCTGGACAAGAGGAGCATCTTTGTTTCAAAAGGAAACTGCAAAAAGGTCAGTCCTGGTCCAGCCTTTGCTGCAATGATTACTCAATTTATCAGCACAAAATTAATCATTTTATTTCTTGAATCAAAATGTAAGGATGATTTCAGCTTTACGGATACAAAAATGTGCTGTTTTTCATAAACCAATGTCGCTTGTGTACCTTTTGCTTTGTACTGAGCAATAAGCATTTTTCAGAATTAATAACATTTCAACTGAGGAAGTAGATGAATTGCAGCCCCAAACACCATCATCCAGCAGAGGACTAACTACACTGGCCAATTAAAAAGTGCACAGTAACATCATGCAAATTCTAGTGCTTACTTTGCATGTGTTGAAATAAAACGTATTTCTTCTACATGCTAGACTGGAGTGTAAAAACCTATCTCAGTATAGTAAACCACTGCAGTGTTGTACACAAACTGGACTTTGTGGTTCATACTATTTTCCCTGAAATCCGAACCTAACAGCACATCCATGCAGCCTCGGGCTTTGTTCTTTTCTTCATAGGTCCAACTAATCACTGACTGAACAGAAAACGTGACATCAGAGAAGCTACATGTACGCTAAATATACACACAACCATCCTTTTACAGGGCCATTCTGAGGTGTGTGTTACCTGACCACAGAGCGCAGTAGCTCATAGACCTTCTCCAGAGGAGCAGTGGTCTTTAGAGGACGCAGGAACTCCAGAGCCTGGCAAGCAGCCAGCAGCTCTATGGCTAGCACTGCAGGACAGAACCACAGGTTAACACGCTGGCAGAAGCACACGTACGTATGACTGGATCTGAATTTTGAGACAGGTGGCGTGTTAACCTTGCTCCACGTGGTCCACTACTCTCAAGGCTTTGCGAGCAGCCCACCCACCCATAGACACGTGGTCTTCAGTTGCTGCACTAGTGGACAGGGAGTCAACGGAGGATGGGTGGCACAGAGTTTTATTCTCTGACACTGTAGGAAGGACATTTGGGTCAGCTAATGCAAAGTGTAGTGCAGGAGTCAAAAGAAAAGAATGAGACAAGCATTTTGAAGGTTTCTCCACCATCTTAAAGTGTGTGTGTGTGTGTGTGTGTGTGTGTGTGTGTGTGTGTTTGTATAGCTATCATTGTGAGGACAAATGAAACTGTATAACCTTTGGAGTGAGGACCTTTTTACAAAGTGAGGACATTTAGGCCGGTCCTCACTTTATTTTCACTGCAATGGCATTAAAGTACAAAACTATTAGCATCAAAAAATACTAAAAATACACATTATGCAGGATGACACATTTCACATTTCTGTATATCACATTATTGTGTTATAATTACTGATGCATGTTTGTGTACATCACATTGAATGTTGCAGCTGGTAAAGGAGGAGCTAGTTTTAACTAGTTTAGATGCATTTAATTTGAATTACTGCTGGGCAACTTGTGCATTTTCCACTATAGATCAATGAGGTCTTATACTGTATTTTTGTATTAATCTGTTCTGAAAAGTAACTGAAGTTATAAAATAAGTGAAGTGAAATACAAAGTACAATATTTGTCTCTAAAATGTAGTGAAGTCAAAGTATGAAGTAACAGAAAATACTCAAGTACAGATGCCTCAAAATTGTACTTAGGTACAGTACTTAAATAAATGTACTTAGTTACTTTCCACCACTGAGTAATACATTTAGGTTTTGCATGGAAACAGAAATATGGCCTAGAAATACAGACCTAAGGCAGCAGCAGTGCAGTGTGCCACCATGAAGCCACAGTTCAAACCGCCGTCCTGGGTAAGGAAAGCTGGCAGTTCACTGAGGGCCGGGTTCACCAGTCTCTCAATCCTCCTCTCACTTATACTGGCCAGCTCATGCACACCGATAGCCAAGTAGTCCAGGGCCTGGAACAGCACAACATTTACTAACAAAGAGCATAAGCATTCCAGGCCAAAGTGGAAGGGGGTGGTATTAATCTGACAGCCAGAAGTCAAGTTTTCATTTTTGTAAATAACCACCACTCTGTCAGGGCTGGCAGCAGGATATAAAACACTGTCAGACAGTATATGAGAATTTAACTGGTCCAGAACACCATCACCCAGACAGAGGATAAAGGACAACAGATCAAACTGAGTTCTTATTAGATAGTGTGGTGTGACTTTATAATCACCTTTATTTGGCCAAGTATGTTACACACAGCCCTGCGATGGACTGGTGACCTGCCCAGGGTGTACCCTGCCTCTCGCGCACAGTCGGCTGGGATTGGCTCCAGCCCCCCGTGACCCCATTTGGGACTAAGCCGTATAAAAAATGGATGGATGGATGGATGTTACACACAAGGAATTTGTTAACGATACAGAACCGAGGCAGCCATCTGCGGCGCCAACTCACACCGATGGGTCTAACCATTGGGGGTAACTTGGGGGTTCAGTGTCTTGCCCAAGGAAATTTCAACATGCGGACTGCAGGCACCATGATTCAAACCTCCAAGCCTCCGGTTGGGAGACGACTGCCCTGCCCACTGAACCACAGTCGCCCCCCAACCACAGTCGTCCCCATTTACCTTGGCTGGATACTCTCCATGGAAGTTCCCACCAGACATAGTCTCTCCAGCTTCTGCAAATACCAACTGGAGATAAATTGAGGAGTCATAAAGCTTTTATAGTGTGATAAAACATTTGTATCGCATGCTGTAAAGAGCAGCATGATTAGTTAATTTCATGCAGTGCCTTAAATATACTTTGTGAAAAATGTGTCAGGAATAATGAAAAAAATCCATTTATCCTTCATACCCTGAAGACAAAAATGAAATGTTTTAATTAAAGTTTTAACTTGAGACTTATTTGAGTGAAGAAATTTAAAGTGAATAGTCATTAAATGTAGGAAATGTAAAGTCCTTCTGTATAGAACTGTATCGTAGAAACCCTTCAAATTATTCTGATAGTATTAATGTTATTAGTAGAAAACAACACAGTCTTAGTGTCCTTTGGTGCAGTCTCCATATTGCTTTTAACCCTTTAGTGTCAATGCAGGATCTACAGTATATAAATGTTTTTGTTTTTCATTTTGATAACGTCCACTGGAGGGCACCAAAGTCAAATTGTACACATAGAGGCTTAAAGGCTCCATTGATTTTGGATATTTCTACAAAGTATAAGTTAAAGTTCAATATACAGTAGTTCTACTGTTAGGAAATATACTTGCTTGGTTGCTTTCTTGCACAGGGTTTGATGGGAGGATTTACAACACTGTCCACTGTCATGGTTTGTGAACTATGCTTCCTGATTCTGGATGATTTTTCCCTGCTGCTCTGCCACGTAATATAATAAACTCAGTTTCCTCTCCACTGGCTGTGTCTGCCTATGGGGTCCAGCTGCAAGTGAAGGATACTGGGTTGTCCGTGGCGCTGTTCAGCTCAGTGGAAATCAACTTCTGGACAAAAGCTATTGTGTCATTCACCACTCCATGAATCTGCAAAAAGAAGAAACACTGCTTAATAAATTCCATGACTTTCCTTTGGTTGTGGAACTGAATTTGTTCCGAACTACTTTTTTTCATTCAAACAAAGGCACAACACATTTTGATACTTTTAAATGTGCACTTGTATGAACATACACACACGTAGAGGATACCTGTGGGATACAGCGCAGGGTGTAGGAATCCTGAACACGTGTGCATGATCTATGACTCTCTATGGGAAGAACAACATAAGGCAATCCAGAGATAGCCGAGTAAAATATTTATGGGGAAAAAAAACATTATGGAAGACAGAGTAGGTTAACTAGACTTGGTGTTATCAGCAGTGAATCCTTAAAGGCATGGGGTCAATATTGTGCTGGTCATATGGGTCCAACCTGCGATCTGAGAAGGGAAGACATCAGAGTCCAACAGAGAGCGAAGCCTCTCAGCCACTTCCACTTGACCAGGGTGCGCTCTCACTTCATGGATAGCTACAACACAACAGCTGCATTGTTTACTACAATTTTATGCTCTACAATGTCTTTGTCTTACACATGTCAAACAGAATGAATTGCCAAAAAGCAGATCAGAGTTCAGATGTCTGTCAAAGGTCTGTAAAAGATTATTACAAAAAATAAACTGAATTGTGAAAACCATAAATCATCCATTCCACTTCATTAAAACAACGTGCCATATCCTGACATACTGTCATACTGATTAGTTGGCCCATTCAGTGAATGCGGTGCAGGAATTGCTTCTTACTCCCATGGACATGGCATCGTCATGTCCCTCCACTATGGAAAATATCATGAATATGCCATCTTGCTTTTTTGCAACCAGATTCTGCGCAGCAGCAACCACAGGTGAAGTGGTAGCATGGGACTGCCAATCAAAGCTATAAAATCAGTCGAAATACATCCCTTTTAATATAATCAAACATGGCCTCTGGGAAAATTTTATTTGATTTGTACTTTGGGTTTTTAGTGTGGCTCATCCACTAACAAGGAGGTGGCAGAATTTATGACTAGTATACTTTAACCAGCCACTAGGGGCGATCAACTTTTGGTGACTTCACTTGTGGGAGCTGTCAGCCTGTCCATCATTTATATGTCAGTGGTTGCTCCTTACAGCAGTAGTTAATGATTGATTGATTGATTGATTGAAGCCAAACTTGTGAATCACATTGTATAGCAAAACACAACTGCCAAAGTTTTAACCAAAACAAGCAAGAAAGAGCACATCACACCTATCTTTACACTAGCTCCTTGCCTCTTTGTGAATTTAAACATTGATATATAATTGTTTCTGTACCTATTTTAAGCTTAGTACCTATGTGTTGGTGTACTGGTCTATAGAGTTTGAACATGTTGTTATTTTGATTATGTTAGCATTCAAGACCACTCGTGTTTCTTCTTTAACAACATCACACCATTTTCACTGTGTGACATTTGTTCACGAAGAAACAGTGCCACCCAGCTTGTGATTGGTTAGTTGAAAATAGGGCCGGGCCTTCAAGGAGCATGCATTCGAGTCAACACTCGAAATAAAAGTTGCATGAGGTACCACTGTGGAAGGCCTTTTTGCTGCCTTTCAGGGCTTCCAAAGTCAGGGCAGCTATGACGTCAGCCTGTCTGCTCACAGCCAGGGCTCTCTCCACAGCCTCAGCACCCAGCGATGATATCAGCTGAGTCCCGTTGATCAGAGCGAGTCCCTGTTCAACAACCACAGTCATTAACTGAAATTTAAATGTATGTCTGACTGTAAAATTGCATTAAAAATGTGCAGTTTATTGCAGTTTGGGTTTTAGTTATGTGCCTCAAGCAACAGTAACTGCTAAGATCTGGAAATGCAGCAACATCTCAAAAACAGGACCAACAGAAACAAGTACTCAGATGATCTGATAGGTCAGAAACAAGCCTGGCTAGATTTCTAGACCACTTTATTTGAAGGTAAAAATAAACCCAAGCATACCCAAAATGCTGCTAATGATCTCTCATTACACTGGAAAATGACAGCAAGCATGTTAGCTCAAACTAATTGGTAGGTGTGATTAGAGGCATCAGTAGGCTACTCTCCATAGCAAAGGGAAAATTGTGACGAAGCTTGATACCCAACCTGCTGGGTTCGTTTATTCAGTGATATCCATTTAGTTTTAATGAAGCAGTAAATTATCACTAGCTGGGTTTCCATCTACATTTAGCACAAATTTTAACCAAATTTCCAGAAATTCAGCAAAAGAAAATGTAACTGAAATTATGTTCCCATTCTTTTACATGAATATTAATAAATCCTTCAAAATAAACAGTTGGACTAATTCTTCGGTCACTGTAGAAGAGAGTGAGAGCTCATTAAAAGAGCTTCGGTCAGAGCTCAAACAATGGAAAACAGTGTGGGAAATGTTAGTTTTATGTATTAATGAGAGGAAGGTGACAGTCTCCTTATCGCTTTGCACACATTGTTTGCTGTAAGTGGCAAGTGATGTTTCCCTAATCTTTTAGGTACATTAGCATTTATTCAATAGCTCTGTTTTTCCCAATACAACTTTAATGCAATGCAACTTTACCCTTGCAACATTTTGAGCTTTTCCAATAATTTTTTTCTCTACTCAGGGCTTTTTAAATGCACATATTTAAAAAGTAAAAACAAACAAACAGCCAGTGTGGTTTCCAAGATTACACTGTAATATAGTAGCAGCCTGTATGAACCTTGTTTTAGACATAATTATAACTGATATAGCTGATGGCTGGAGCCTTAGAAACAGGTGTAACAAGGATGTAACATACAGTATATTTTAATTAAGAGTAAAACCGAATACCTCCTTTGGTTTGAGTACAAGTGGTCTGAGCCCATGGCCTTCCAAAACCTGTAAATATAACAACCAAACATGGTCATAATCAGTCATGGCAGGAAAATGGGCTTGAGGTTGGAAAGACTGCGTTTTTACTCATGTGTAATTTATCTGTCCATGTCTATCCAGCATGAAATCTGGAAATATAGGGGAAAAGTCTTAGGCCACCATTAGATTTGTTGTTGTAGCATAGTTATGACTATGTTTATATTTATGTATCAGAACTTGAAAATATAGGAAATATGTACAAAGTATTAACACCAAACAAAAATGTCAGAAAAAAAACAAACAGACAAACTAAATACTCAAGTATGTGTTCAAGCTGTTTCAAAAAAATATAAAGAATTCAGAAAGGTCAAGGACAAAACCAGGAGTGGAAGATCAAGAAAACTGTCAAAATCTGATGAGAACTTTCACAGAGTTTTTATGTTTTGTTTTGGGTTTTTTTGACGGTGTGTTTGGAGTATCTGGTGCTTTGCTTGCACTTTAACTTGCACTGTGTACAGTTGTAGTTTTTATAATTTCATTGTACTGGTACAGTGACAATAAAGGGCATTCTGTTCCATGTATTCATTTGAGGAACGTTACAGTTCTGTTCTTTGAGATACTGGAGGAAATCCAGCAAGGAACTGGCTCAGCATCTGGCAGCTTCATCTGGATGCCAAGTTGATTGTTCCACAGCCTGTAGAAGGTCAATCAGGAACGACCTTTGTGGAAGAATAGCAGCCAAGAAACCACTTTTTCAGAAGGGGGACAGGGAGAAAAGGGTGAGATAAGGCTTGCAAAGACTGGAGTGAAGCTCAGTGGAAAAGAGGACTATGGAGTGATGACTCCAAGTTTGAAATTTTTGGGTCTAATCGGTGACAGTATGTGAGAAGAAGAGTTGGAGAGAGGTGGAACAATGAGTGCTTGCAGCCTTCAATAAAACATGGCGGAGGGACTGTCATGGTTTCAAGACAGTCTCCCCAAAAAGAATTCAAGCTGTGCTAAGTCACACTAAATACTGACTTTGGATTGTCGAAGCCATTTTGTTTTGAAAATGTGTACATATTTCCTGTATTTTCTGGTTATACAGTATCTAAATAATGAGACAACCTTGGTAAAACAGCAAAACTAATGGTACTCTACCTGTCTGAGAATTTCACTCTTAAATAAGAAAAAAGATACTAAAAGAAGATGGGGAGGAGCCAATTCAAGTCCATTTACTAATAATGTAGTAGTTAGAGCTTTTATAAAAGTATCATAAAATGTAGCTTGTTAGAAAGTGATGCAAAAAATAACAGTGTAAGGACACTCACAGCTTTGGCATCGGCCCAGCCACTCTGTGGTGACCACATCCTGCCCTCCCCCATCAGGCCTAGGGTGAGGTGGGCCAGAGGAGCCAGGTCTCCACTCGCTCCCAAAGTGCCCTTCTCTGGTACCCAGGACAAACACGATGCTAGACTCCACACAAACACACACACTTGTTCTATTTGGCAAGTGCAGCTGCAATTTTATGAATCACTCTAATCTCGGGTCAAATTACGTTTCTGAGCTCATTGGGGAAAAAAACTCAGCATGTCTATCAGATCTTTAGGACGCATTTTCAAGTCTAAATGGAAAGCTGCTGTTCTTCTGTACCTTTGGTTTCTCTACTGTATTTTTACACTGGGTGCAGCTCACATTGCATAACTGCACTGTAAATGCACTGTAGCTATATGTTAGCATGATCTATCATTATTTTTCTCTATTAGTATTTTATTTAATTTTGTAATTTTAAGCCTTTTTACAACTTCTATCCATTCTGGCAATTGCTGGGGCCAAAGGCATCATGTTTTAGGGGTGTCTGTCCTTACATCCGTCCCATTCTCGTGAACATGATATCTCAGGATCGGTTTGAAAGAATTTCTTCAAATTTGGCACAAACTTCTACTTGGATTATTGGATTAGATTTTGGTGGTGAAACGTCAAGAGGTGAATCCTAGTTCCATCATTTTATCATTCCTCGGTCTTCAGTGCTCACTCAACCCAGAAGTTGTTCCCATCCACCATGATGAAGGACATCCCAGAGCTCTTATTTCTGCTCTGAGGAGCGAGGATGCTGCCTGGAGGAGCCATGAGTGATGATACACAAGATTGATCCCTTATATTGGAAGTCAATTTGCAACTGGATGCTTCACATAAAAGATTGGAGGAAAAGAAATCTCATGTCAGTTAAAATCCCTTTCCTTGGTTCTTCTCTCCTCGCAGTTTCTCCTTGCATTTTTTTCTTACATGGGTGGAAATAACACACAAGGAAAAGCACAAATGAGGCAAAAGTGGATGCAATTAGGGGAACTGGGATTTATCTCTGTTACTAGGTTTTTTTCAAGTATCATAAGGGCCGTCGTTTCCCTCACTTGTGTCTTTTCCTTGTGTCTTAGTTTCACCCACGTAAGATCCAAGGAAAAGGTGCAAGGAAAAGGTGAGGGGAGAAGACCCCAGGAAACATTACTGTATTATTCCTTCTATTCTTCATCTGAAGCATCCAATCACAAACTGATTTCTGATAAATGGGTGTGTTGGTTTGTAATAAACATCTGTGAAGAATGGTGTAGTGTATAATTGCTCATGGTTCCTCCTGCAGCCTCATCACTCCTCAGAGCAGATATAAAAGACCTGAAACTTGCTCGACTGACCCCGAGGACAGAGGATTAATCACATACAGTGAGGAACAGAAGTATTTGAACACCCTGCGATTTTGCAAGTTCTCCCACTTAGAAATCATGGAGGGGTCTGAAATTCACATTGTAGGTGCATTCCCACTCTGAGAGACAGAATTT